AGCAGCAGCAGTAGTAGTACTAGTACTAGTACTAGATCTCCCCTCCCCTCCCCTCTCCCTCCCCTCCCACTACTGCTACTTTCCTCCTCTCCCTTCCCTTCCCTCCCTTGTTCCTCCCCTCCCCTCCCCTCCCCACCGTGGCTCTGTGGGCCAGCTCAGCTCCCCCTCCTGCGCTACCTGTATGTGGCGCTCGGGGCTGGCGGGCATGGCATCTTCGAGGTGCTATGTGCTAAGTGAGTCAGCCTTGTAATTAAGAACTTGTTTTGCTCATCAAGATACAAGAAAAGAAAAAAAGAGGATCAAGAACAAGGGCCAGGGGGAACTGGTCAAGACTTAAATACCAATCAAAAGATGCAGGATGAAGCTGACAGGACCGTACGAGTCGCTGCTCAGAGTCAAGAAATTCATAAGAGGACACGGGATGTCCCAGACAAGATGTACGAGATGCACACCGGCCTTGGGCTTCGTTCGGTTGGGTGCTTCTCTTCGGGTTTTCTTCGTTGGCGGGGTTTGAGGGGAGGGTTGCTCCTGCCTCTGCTCCTGCTGCTTTGCTTGCCTTGCTGCGGTGCCACTGAGACTCACAAGTTAGACTCAGTTGGCCAAACCGGCCCTACGCGGGCCCCCGTAGCACAGTTCCCTTCCTTTGTACTCGGTGGCTCATGGCAGCGTTCGTGGCTCGATGGGGAGCCGCACTTTGACGCTCATGCGCCACTCGCTTGCAGAAACCAGAGAGGTTGTAGCAGGCCACAGGTCACGCAGGTTGTTTTGCAGTGGATGTTTTACAATGCTGTGGAAGACTTGTCGAGTTTTGGCAGTGCGTGCGTTAATTTTTGTAACAAACGCATATGCCTCTTCACACTTGTTTTCTGCCTAGCTCTGCTGGGCGACGTTCTTTCTTTAGTCATCTGGGGATGCCTACGTGTCGGTTGGACTGGCACAGCTGGTCTACCAGAAGTTCCTCAGTCCAGCGAGCCTCCCGAGACCATAGCACCCATGACTTTTCACTGGCTGTGCAACCTCTTCGAAACAGGCATCTCGGCAGGACCGGCCAGAAAAGCTGGCCACAGCAGAGTCACGGGCTTACGTGGTGCTGTTGGCTTAGACCACAAGTGGCGGCAGGGCCCCTTGAGAGCTTGCCGTCAGCGGCACTTGAGCCTCTTTCGCCGGCAGCTTTCCTCAGTCTTGTGCAAGTTGAGGGTTGAGCCTTCGGTCAGAGCCCCAGAAACAGTGGTCTCGTCAAGCGCTGTCGAGCCCCCAGGAGGCTGGCAGGACCTTAGCTTCTTGACACACGTGAGTGACTTGCTGAGTGGTGGAAAGTCGCACAGAGCCCGTCGTAGGAAAAAGCAGTCATGGGGCGGGCAAGACGCAGACTACTCCTCTGCCTGGCAACACTCTAGGAGTCAGGCTACGGTACGGGAGTCTCACAAGACAACCTTGCCAAGCTCATGTTGCGACGTCTCAAGGATTGTCTCAATCACAATGCTACGGATCGCGATGTTGTCAATGTTCTGAAAGATATCGTCACTAGCTGGGAAGCCAAAGAGGTCGGTTCTTCTCACTCGCCACCCCACCGCCACACCAACAAGTGGACGTGGCAAGAATGGGAGGATTGGCGTGCCCGGCCCAAACAGCAACAGCAACAACAGCAACAACTGAGTCAACCGCGACAACAGCCACAACATTGGAATACGGTGGCACCGGCTACCCGTAAAGTTGTGGAGCGGCAACAACGGTGGCCTACGGAAGAGCCGGCTACCCGTAGAGTTGTGGAGCTCAAACCGTCAGAGTGGACTGTTTTCCCGAAGCTTGCTACGGTTGAACAGGTAACCCAAGCCATCCGCACTGGCAGCCTCATCACGGGAAACGTCATTCCGTGTTGTGATCTAGAAACTCTCCGTGAAGTTCAAGACCTGTTTGAAGGGTTTCAAGTTACTGGTAACTTCACGGCCCTGCTCGTCGACGCGGCTAGGGACTTGTCAGGTACTGCGAGCGCCAGCCTGAGCCTTGCAGGTCGCAGTGCAACTTCAGCAGGGAATGCGTGTCCTTGGTCTCCCTGTCGGGCAAAGGACCTTGGAAAGTCCCTACTGTCTTGGTGGACCCAGGTTAAGTCTGTCGACCGTCTGCAGGTGCGTGTTGCGGTCCCAGTTCACTACAGAGCTACCTTTACTCCTGACCCTAAGGGGGAAGCGGTGACCACCATCCTTGCGGAGTTGAGTCGTAGGGGCGTTAGGCCTCATCTTCTGAGCGGAGGGAGATGGAGTTGGGAGCAGTCGGGCAGCGGCAAGACTAGCGACACCTGCCAGCTGGTAGGATGGCTCCGTCTTGCTAGAGCCGAGGCTAACGCTTTGCTTGCAAGTAGCGGAGATAGAGCTTTGTTTGCCCAAGTGCACTCGACTAATCAAGGAGAGAAACACCAGGAAATCATGTGGATTCCTAGGGAAAAGAACGAGACTGATGAAGTGTATCATCGGAGGGCGCTGCAGATGGCCAAGGACAGAGGTCAGCCTTTGAGGCTCAGACAGGGCCGGGTGGACTTGGGTGTTGATCGTAAGGACGACGATGCGAGAACTCCGAAGTTGAAAACCTTGGACATTGCGGGCGTTCCGCCGCAATGGCAAGCTGAGGAACTCCAGGAACTCCTGGAATCTCAACAGTGGACGCAAGTTCAGATCCTCCAGTGCCGTAAGCAGCAGCGTAGGATCGTGTGGCGGGTACGTGCCTTCCCGCCCACAGGCACAGAAACTAGAGGGGCATGGCAGTACGAATGCCCCGATGCGCTTCATGTCTACGTCCATGAGGCGATAGGCAGACCGCTGGTGCCCTCGCTTGTCACTCAGGCCCAAGCCCCAAGGCGCAAGTGGCATGATGACGAAGAGCCGGTGAAGGAACGCGATCAGGCCAAGCGTGGTCGTTCTCGTTCTAAAGAGCTCAGACCCTCCGAAGAGGGCGCCCGAGACTCCTCTAACCGTAGTCGCAGTAGACAACGAGAAGACCCTGTCGATCTCACGCAGCCGGATCTGGAAACTCAGGGTGAAGAAGCTCCGCAGGACGAGGCTATGCGGGGGGAACAGAGGGGCAACGACCCAGGCCCTCACTCCGACTTGGAACCTGAGAACTATCAGGAGGCCTTGATCCAGAACTGGCGAATACGAGACTTGCTCGGGGTGGGTGATTGCGCGTGGCGGGCTATCGTTGATAACCTCACGTACTCATACTGATATCGATGTTGCCGAGTGTGTTCAGCAGGCGAACTGGTTGAGAGTCAAATGAGAATGCGATGCGAGTCAATTTGAAGCATACTTGTCGCAAGCGGTGAAGCAGTCCACATACGTGGATGGAGTGCTCCTGCAAGCTGCGGCGGAACGCTTAGGAACATGTATCGTCGTCTGGAAGGTCAGTGACGAAGGCATGCAAAGGTTCACATTCGCGCCAGGCTGGAGTCAGGGTTGGCCAAGGAAGAGTCGAGGAGTACCGTCTTTGACGCTTGTGCTTGAAAAACGCCACTACGTGAGCCTTCGTGCGTTGAGGTTCCATGGACGTGGATCCGAGAGGTCGTGTGGGATAGCTCGACTGCGGAAGCTCTCTCAGGCGGCGTGGGGAGTTTCATCTTTGGATCAGCTACGCCCTCGGTGTACACTGCGAGGCCCTCTGACGTAGGAACCCTGCAGCCACCAGGCCCGGAAGTCCCTCACGCTAGGTTCGAAGCCTCCAGGCCCAGTCCGTCGAATGAAGGGCCTAAACTTGTAAATAGGACCAATCGGGCGCCCGCCGAGCGAAAACGAGGTAGCAGGCCTAGTCCGTCGTCAGGCTCGGCTACGTTTGAGGCCAGGACCAGCCCGTCCCTCAACGAGCCTCAACTGGTCACGAGGCCCAGTCCGTCGAACCACCTGCCTCAACTTGAAACCAAGCCTGAGCGGTTACACAGCGGACCTTCCCTTGAAGCCAAGCCCCACACGTTGAACTGTCAGCCTAAACAGGGTGCTAACGGTAGGACGCGCAGAGTGTTTGTGAAACCCTCTACCGCCGCGTCGTCGAGCTCTGCAGGAGCTCGTTGAGGGCACCCTCAGACCGGAGTGGGTGACCAAAAGTAGACGGTTCGTCGCGGCTAGGAGAACGGCAGTGGCTGTTAAGGACAGGGCCTTAAGAGGCCTGCAGAAGCTGGGCGACTTGCTGGGGCAGGCAGCGGCCTGCGCTAGACAAGTAAGTGAAGCTGTGCGCGAGGGCCCGCTTGCTTGCAGCGACGAGAGCCTGCTAAGGGCTTTCAAACGGTGCCTCGTCTCCCAAGGCGTCTTGCAAAGGACGCTGGCTAGCCTTCCGGCTGAGGCAACTGCCTTAGCTACAGCGTCTCAAGACGCACCGCCGCTGCCTCCGGAGGTGCCGGCGCCCTCTGCCTTAGGTAGGGCTCGGGCCATAGACTCGGTGGTTGGCCAGAGCCTCGGTCACACTGCACTTGAGAATCCTGTTGCGGGAGGCGCGAGGCGTAGGTTGTGCAAAAAGACCAAGGACCAAGGTACAGGCTAAGGCCCCTACGTTTGTCAGAGAAAAGTACAACTGGCCATGTAACTTGTGTAACTTCAGAGCCGAGGGGGACACCCCGGCCGCTGTGATGCACAAGCGCATTCGGCATGCCGACTCTTGTCATGCTGATGAGAAGCATTTACTCCAAGGG